TCCGTCATTTGCCCAATCCAAAACCACGAGCGAAGACGCCTCAGCGCCCGGCTTGTCTTGCTCGGCACAGGCGCTGGGCGTGGTGTTTTCCAGGCCCTTCTCACTGGCTGCGGCCTCGCTTCTTTTGCTCTTGGTCTTCTCGACGGCTTCCTGCCGCTGGGTCCAGTGAAATTTGTTGTCGGGTACTGTTGGATGCCACTCGGGTTGTCCGAGGACAGGATCAAGGGGGGCAGGAATGACAGCGGCAGTCAATGGCAGAGTGATACGACCGTGAATGCCGTCTCTCCTCCTATGGGGGCGGCCCTCGCCCGGGAAGTCGACATTCTGGCCAACACGACGCGGTGTAGGAGGAGAATAGTGCATCATTTCTTCCTCGGAAATAAGGCTCTTCTGGTCGAAGCGAAGCGTGCTGACAGCTCCGGTCATGAGCGAAAATTCAGGCCAGTCAGTCGTAGCAGTAGGCAGCTGCTCCACCACTGCCGTTGCGGGCGAGGCGGGGACGGTGGCATACTCCTGTCTGGCGAGAATGTCCCTCTTGCCGTTGTTGTTGAGATTGCGGCCGAGCTCGACGTCATCCTCAGGTGGAAAGGGGGCTTCATTGACTGGAACCGGCCGGATTGTAACATAGATAACCTCCGTGGTGGTCAATGATGGTTCAGCGTCGCGGCGATCGAGCTTCCAGATGTTGTCGGCCGGCAACCCGTAAAGCGGCGCCATGTCAAAGGCGCGCTCGTTTAAAACAGTGTCCGGCCGCGGTAGGATAACGGTTTGGACGGCGTCGACAGCGCCAGGGGAGGTGTACGAATTCCTCCAGAATGGTACTGTAGCAGATGTATTTGCGCCCATTTCGAATACAAAGGCAATGAGAGAGATGTCCGGTAGCCAGATTATCTGTAGTTGCTGAGGACAGATCGGAGGCTAATATGTTTATGAGGACTCGAATGCGCTTTGATCGAGCAACATTTTGATGCAAGCAAACGAACGAGACATGACAGCTGTCTTGTTTGCTACCTGACTTGGTTTGCTTCTGGTCCTGGAGTCGGTTGCGATTGTGCTGTACGAGTATATGTGTTGGTGTTGCTCTTTTCGATACACAAGGTAGCTTGTAGAGCTTATCTTAATGTTGTTAACACGTTCCTACGCAGGCAGAGGTGATGTGAAGAGCCTCCGCGGAGTTTGATAAGCGCGAAACAGCTATATTTGATTTAATGCAAAGGCTGGCAGGTGCAGGGATCACACCCAAAAGGATGAAGACGAAAATTCGAACATCCGCTTCTCTGGAGCGGTTGTGTTCATGTGTTCTGCGACTGTTTGCCCTGAGCCTGTCATTGAGCAACCAACAATGCGATGTCATGGACACAGAGTCTGAAAATAGTTGTGGAACAAAACTTAAAACTTGTCTCGTTGGACGATGGGTATAGAACCAACAAATGTACAACATACCTCTCATGTATGCAGCCGCTTGCCGAAATAGAAACCATGCATGTCTAACCATCTCTTGTACTGTCAAACTGACATATGCGGTAGGCCTATCAAGCGGAATCCACCCTACGAATCCCCACGATCCTCGCCATTCTCTGCTCCATCCCCCACACACGGTCGTCCACGAGTTGTATGTCCCGCTCAACCCCCTTGACAATTCTGTCCATCTGTTAAGCTCAAAATATTTGTAGGGGGTAACATGACACTTACAAACAAGCGTCACCAATTTCCTTCGCTATTCGTCTGGTTTCCAGCCGAGCAAGGGTGTTCATCATTTCGACAACATCACCCTTTTTCCGCAGCCAAAGATAGCGCTCACGGAATCCTGCCTTCCGATATTCCGTCTTGTAATAGTCCTCGTCATCGCTCGGTGCGTACCCTTCCCCATTTCGCACATGCGGATCATGAGATTGACTTCGTCCCATCTCCACATCGTCTCGCAAAAATGGCCGCTCTAGCTCCCGAAAGTCGCGAATCAGATGCCGTATTGCCTCGCGCATCACGCGGGTGCTGGTGTCATCGTCGTGGATGTCCTTGGCTTCCGTGACTGCGTGGCTGTCTAGTCGCATTCCAAACACCTCCTTCTCCGAGGCACTGCTGTAGCCATTATTGTTGGGATATCTGTTGGTGCTGCCCTTGCGCTTCCTTGGTCTACTGCGGGAACCACCCACGAAGCTGGTGCGCTGTCGCTGAAAGCGACGCACTTTCCGCAAATGTGCGCGTTCCTCGTACAGCCCCTGCTTGAGGTTGCCGAGGAAATCTGGGATCTGCGTTCCGGCGGCCGCGATGGTTTGGAGGTTCTCCCAAGAAAGGCGCAAGAACGTGGCGACGGTGAAGGTAAAGCTGACAAAGCCGATGCACACACTAATGAGCGAGAGCGGCGAAAGCTCCGTGTGTGTGCTAAGGACGACGCCCATGGCTTGTTTGTTGGCTAGGCAGACTTGGGCTTGAAACGGAGAGGCCCTACTGGACAATGTTGGTGTAAGCCCTTTTGCTTTATTGGGAGATTTTTTGCGGTTTTCCAGGTTGTATATGAGCTTTTTTACATGGCTCCAGAGGCGGCGAGGAAGGGTCACAGTCCGGACTCCATATTCAAGCGCTTACCTTGAAGAAAATCCTCCTCCTTGCGAAATAAAGGCATAGCCTGAGTGTGGGCACTGGTTTGACTAAGACATGAAGAGAAAGATAAGAGCTTTCGCGGAGCAAAAGGGCGTCAAGCCAACACGCTCGTGGCTGCAAAGGGCGTATATAAGCGTCGGCGGCCAAAGCTGCAAGATAGCATGCGGTATGGTGTATGAGGCGGTATCATCATGGCAGGGACCGGTCGGAGAGCTCAACGCGCGAATCTGGGGGAAGAATTGGCATTTCGGGGTCAGATGGCGATGAGACCTGACGAACGTGACCATCGTACAAGGACCACGCGGGCCGACAGACGGAGAGATATAGCGGCGTGGGCGAGGTCATGGAGCGACCGGGCTGACTAGGTCGGTTCGACAGTGCGACGCGGGTAGGTCTGCGGACGTTGACGGCTGTACAGGTGGTAGAGATGTTTGTGGTGATCGTTGGTCGTTTCGTGAATTGTTGTCGTCACTGCCAAGCGGCGGCCGAGCTCCAAGCATGCGCAGCAGCACCTTCCATCGCGTGTCTGCCAACCCAACGCCCTGCGCCTCCTTCCGCTTGACGTCTTCCTCCACCTCATGTAGTCCTCGCCCAACCTCTACGTTCGACTTCGACCTTCAACATCTCCATCCTTCCTTCTGGGCCATCTCTAGCTAACGATGTTCTTCTTCTTCACCTGCGGCCAGCACAGTAAGAAGACCAACCCTCTGTTGAGAGTCCCAAGCTAACACTGCCCAAGCGTTCCAGTCGCCCCTCAAGGGCTATGAGAACGTCACTGTCCAATGCCAGAACTGCGGCAACTGGAGTGGTCGCGTCTACAAGCGTTGGTAAGCATCAGCAGGAGCTTTCCCCGGCCTGCGCGTGCGCACGCGCCCGGCCTCCCGCCGCCTCTCCACAACTTCTCCACACTCCACAGGCTGACTCGGCTACAGGCAGTGGTTCACCTTTTGCTTCGTGCCCATCATCCCTTTCTCCCTGAAGCCCTGGCACGAGGTCGGCTGTCATATTTGCAACTTCTTCCAGGATATCAAGTAAGCCGTCGACCAAAACTCACCCCTCCCGTCCGCCGACTAACCACCTCAGATATCGACCCGACGTGCAAGCTCAGGCTAACGGCGGTGGCCCGCAGTACGGCGGCCAGATTCCCATGGAAAACTACGGCGGCAAGCAGCCGCAGCCGGCTCCGGAGCCACAAGCCCAATACCAGCAACCGCAGTATAAGTAGTCAGTCGACGCTCGCAAGGCTTTCCGCTGTTCAGGTCCTTTCATTCTCGACTGGGAAGAAGCATATTGGAAAACATATGCTGAGGCGGACATGGCTATGCCTGCGACGCGCGTCACGCTTCAGGTGCATACAGTGCGTTCTAATTTGGCGGCTGCGCCAAGATGAAAAGACGAAGCTGCGGGAGCGAAAGCAGATGCGGGATGCGGACATGCAGACTCTATGAGTAATAGGCCTGGCTGAGGTAGCAGTATGGCTGGGCGTTTTGGTTTTTGTTGCATAGGTTTGGTCTGGGATTGATACCAGAAGTCCTAAGGCTCTAAAAGGATTTTTTTTCTTGCTCTCCATGCGCACGATGCCTCGTCCCGATTCTCAGTTCCCTCTACTATGCAGTGCTTTCCAGGTGAAGCTGTCAACGCAAAGTGATGAAGTCTTTCGCTCGCTCCCAAAATCTTCCTATCGTCTTCGTGGGCTCTTACTGGAAGTCTACTAGAACCAAAGTAAACCTACGCTGCCCTAGTATCTCCTCAGTATACGTGTATAGCGAATGAAAACTAGGGCAGTGGAACTGTCCTCTGCCATTTGAATTACAGCTTGATGTGCCTACCATGTGGCTATGCGATTCACTGCTCAGCCAGACGCGACGAACTGAAATCACAACACCACAGTGGGTGACGAAAGATCCAAGAATCTCTGTCACCAAGTCAACACACATAGAGACGTGGAGTCTTCAAGCATTTGATGCTTTCAACATAGAGAGAATTTTCTCTCTTAATGGGTAATCACAAGGAGCATTCAAGCACTTACGTCCGAGTGTGCAACGACTTGAAGCTGAGCTCAAGTTGAGCTTCTTTCATCACCTACTGTGACACTGCAGTCTAAGTCTAAGGCTTTTGCGAAGCTTGCGAAGCAACAGTGTGGCTTGCTCTGTCGGTCGAGTCGAGCCAACACACGACGACAAGCCAAATTCCATGGGAGAGGAATGTTGTGACTCTCAATGTGATTCAGGATTGGGCGATTTGTGTATTGTTCCCCAGCTTCCATCCACGCACCCCGACGAGACACTGTCGCCAATTCCTCTCCATCACTGTCCATTGTCCCTGAGAACAAAAAGATGAGTTCTGCTGGCAAAAAGGGGCCCCACTCGGGGTTGAGTGGACAAAAAGACAAAAGAAGATGCAGCTTCTGTGGATCGAACACAGTACCTCCAGATACCGCACAGGTGCTTAGGCTGAAGTAGACTTCAGTCTGGCGCTCTCCCAAGTGAGCTAAAGCTGCTATCTGAACTTTGCATTGAGAAATTTGTTATATATAGTGTAAATCTTATCAATGACGTAATGTTGCACTTTTCTGCTATTTGGCCACTAGTTTTCAGTTTCTGTGCCGAGGTGAGAAACTCGTTGCCGCGCGACAAATAGCTGCCCACCCGCAAGCAAAAAACCCCCACCACCTCCCGCGACCCTTCACGTCCCATCCTCAGCCGAGGACAGAGCCCGATCTCTGCTCGAAGATTTGTTGCCTGATTCTTGTGGCCTCGGAGAAGTGCACAACTCGAACTATCTGAATTGGGCCACCAACATAGCGATTTCTCACCTTGAGCAAAAAGACGACAAAATTTATACCCAAAAATGTCCGAAAAGATCTCTTAGATCAAAATCAGCCGAAACGCACAGATTAGAATATCTGAACAGAGGGAAAGTGTCATTGCCTAAGGAGCAATGGAGATGACGGCGCATCGCTACACGTTGGTTGCTAGTGACTAGAAGTCAAAAGAATTTGAATACAAGACATAGTATATCGTAGACCGCGCTCTCGCTACTTCGTATTCCAAAATTCCTTGCGTGGTTGTTGGCAACGACAGTTGTGCATATGGAGAAGAAATCATGGACGTGGCAGCTGATCCTGCTTCTTGATGAAAATTCCCGGTCGAGTTTCTCTTGGTAGCCTCAAAGCTTCGATGTTGTTTGCTTCGCAGCTTCCTGTTCTGCTACTGCTCGCGTGCCGCGGCATGGTCTGCGGCCCGCCCAGGGTCTCCCGAGATCTGCCCGCCCGGCGGCCAAAAATAAAAAAGCAAAAAAGCAAAAAAGCCTACCCAACGGCCACGCAATGGCATGCGGGTATAAAAAGGATGAAAGAACCATACCCGCTGTATTCTGCGCGCTTCCAAAGTCCACTGCCAAGTTCTCCGGTCTTTATTGGGCGCCGTTCGCCCGCAGCATCGCCGACAGCGAAAAAAAAGGGGCCCCAGCCCCAAAAGGCCTCCACAACAACAACCACCTATTAGATCTCTTCAAAAAGCAAAAGAATGACCACGCCAGGGGTCGAACCTGGAATCTCTTGATTCGTAGTCAAGCGCCTTGCCATTGGGCCACGCGGCCAGTCATTGTTGAGCTCAGGAGGCTTCTTGGGCTTGTTGTAGTAAGATGCCGACAATGCACATTATATACTGCAATTTTATATCATCCACAGTTGTAGACCATGTTAAACAACCCCGGGGACACGAGAAACTAGGCAAATTTTTATCAAATGGACATTGATTTTCAAAGTGACGTGTTTCATGACGTCTGCGAGCGGCACTTCCGAGTGGGTGGCTTTTTCGTCTTTTTCATCGGAACCCGAACATAAAACAGCAAGGGACATCCACTTCGAAAACGGAAGCTTAAGCGAACGCAAGTCCAAATCTGTCGACCATCCAACCCAACTCGGACTCAGCTCTTCTGTGACAACACCAACAGAATCCTCGCAAGGGCGAATCGGAGAAATGATGAGACTGTGCAACAGCGTTTCGGCATGAGTCTGGAACATTGAGAGACGAAAGCGTGCCTTGGGAGCGTGTCACTTTGATCATAACTTTGTCATGTAGCACAGTGATGCAGTGATGTTTGGGTGCAGACCGAGAGGTACAGCTTCTCCGCAAATTGCTGCAGAGCAACCTTTCTCGGAACCCGTGATCATTCAAACGTCGCACTCATCGTCCAAATTGGAGAGACCTGCTCGAGTTCTTGTTGAATAAAGCGATGTGGTCAGGGGCAGAGCCATTGACTCGTCCCTCGCTTGCAAGGCATGAAGAGACAATGAATTGCGCCAGCATTCCAAAACAGAACAATCCCTCAACCACATTTGCAATGCACAACAACCATCACAACACAAAGTCAGGAACCACTGGTCTTGGGAGGGATACTCGGCTAATCGGGCGGGAGGCTAAAGTTCCCGTCCCGATTGCTAACCAGATGGTCCGTGTGTCGGGCCGGAGATACCAATAGAGCTGACCACAACTCCGTCCTCGATCCCCTCATCCTCCACCAACGCACATGAAGAAAGTGCGAGGTTAGATCAGCAGCTGTCGTGATCTCGGGGTTTGTCAGCCGTGGTGGCGGCTACCTTTCGCAACTTCTCGAATGGACTTCTCACTGGTCCCCTCACGGCCTTGGGCCTTCCAGATTTGCCCCACATTACGTCAAGACATATATACCCACGCCATGTACCTTAGGCACTTCCTGCAAGCAACTGTTTGTTTGCATTTTCCACCGCAGCCTTAGCGTTTCAGGCGAAAACCACAACCAAAATGAAGGAAGCCATTGTCACCAACGCCGATAATGTGAGTGTCAAGCTCAATCGCACCAAGCCACGATGCTAACCGTTCTAGGTCGCCATTGTCGACTCTCCCATTCCCAAGCCGGGACCCGACCAAGTCGTGATCAAAGTCATGGCTAGTGGCTCCAACCCCAAGGACTGGAAGACCCCCGAATGGGGACAGAAACCGCACAACACTGGCGACGACATTGCCGGTATCGTTCATGCCGTTGGCGACGGAGTCTACGAATTCAAGCCCGGTGACCGTGTCGCCGCCTTCCACGAGATGACCAAGCCGCACGGCTCCTTTGCCGAGTATGCTCTTGCGTGGGCTCACACGACTTCGCATATCCCATCGAACCTCAGCTTCGAGGAGGCCGCCACCATCCCGCTTGCTGCTCTGACTGCCGTCATTGGACTTTATGTTCGCCTTGGCCTGCCAGACCCCTGGCACCCGGTCACAGAAAAGACCCCCTTGATCGTCTACGGCGCGGCATCTGCAGTCGGCGCCTTCGCAATCAAATTGGCTCAGCTGTCTAACATCCATCCCGTCATCGGTGTTGCGGGCAAGGGCATCCCGTTTGCGGAGGGTTTGATTGACAAGAGCAAGGGTGATGCTATTGTTGACTACCGCAACGGTGATGAGGCGCTGGTCAAGAGCATCAAGGATGCGCTCGCCGCTGCCGGCGTTGGTGCACCCAAGCATGCCTTTGATGCTGTTTCCGAGAAGGGCAGCCACGAAAACCTGGTCGCTGTGCTTGCCCCTGACACCAAAATCACCAACGTCCTTCCCACCGAGAAGTTTGCAACTCCCGGATTCAAGTACCCCGAAACCTATCAGGCGACCGAGTGGACGATGGTGGGTGACGTGCACCAAAGAAACAAAGATGTAGGCTTCATCTACTTCAGGTGGCTCTTCAGGATGATTCAGGAGGGCAAATTCTCGCCGCATCCCCACGAAGTCATTCCAGGCGGCTTGACTGGCGTGTCCCAGGTGCTTCAGAACTTGAAGAACGGCAAGGCGAGCGCGGTCAAATATGTCGTCAAGGTGCCAGACACGGAAGGTGCTGGAAAGGACTAGATGGTGGAGGTTGACACTTGACATGTAAATGCCGAAATTAATGAATTATGATCACATTTGCTTTGCAGATTCCGAGAACATGTATCGGCCTCCCTGGAATTATGGCGCCACAGTAGGTGAGCAAAGAAATCCAACCCAGGCCTAGCTTTAAGTCGTTGCACCTTCAGACGCAAGCGCTTGAATGCTCCCTATAACTACCTATTAAGAGAAAAATTCTCTCTATATTGAACGCATCAAGTGCTTGAGAACTCCATATCTTTACGTGTTTTAACTTGATAACACAGATTCCCGGATTAGCAATTTCATTTGTCACCCACTGTGGCGCCATGAAGTCAAGCTCTGTGCTGGTAATGTTTATTGCTGGAAGGCAGTTTCCCGATTTGGCAACATCATCGTTTGCAGCTGCCTGCGCTATCATGCTCTGTCTCTAACTCCCCACTTCCATCCACCTCAACGCCTTGACACCTCGCATCGTCTTTTTCATCTTGTCTTCAACCAATTTCTGCATCACTGCTGCAGCTTCAAACGCCAACGAGAAATTCGAGGGACTTGCTGCTGGCCTCCGAGCTAGCCGTGCTTCAGCCTCCAGAGAGACAGCGGACTCCGGAACAACTCTTGAACCACAGCCTGGACTGCATCAGAGAACAATGCCCTTTGTTTGTTTGCAAGTACGCCCTGTTACGTCTCCCTCCGCTGACAAGAGTCAGGACCACTTGCACATCACTTCGGTCCAAATAGGCAACCGTCCAAACTTGGCCCGCCTCAAATCTGATCCACCTTGACCTCATCCGTTATCGCTGCCTTCCATCCAGGCCTTCTGTCTCACTGCTCTTTCTTGGAGTCCTGTCTCAAGCGCAATGCTACGCTCCCCATTACCGCAGCACCCACACATCCATCCATACCATTGCCCGCCCATCCGTCTCGTGTTTTCCACGGATGACCCAACCAAGCAGACGGAGCAACGCACCCAAACACAGGACAGAAAGAAACAACCCAGCCCCATGCGTCAGACGTCAACATCATGCAACATACTGCCGAAGAGCAACTACCGTACCAACCTGGGTAAGTCGAGTCGTGTCGTTGGTACTCGCAGTTCAGGAAGTCGGTACGTCGTCAGCCTCCTCCACTTGTGTAACCCTCGCACAACGCCTCGATTCAAACCAGGGCGGGACCATGGACGACCAAGGCAAGCAGAAAGGAGAGGAGAAAATTCATCTCCTCACCCCACACGAAACGAGAACTCGGCGCAATACCTGGGTGAGTGACGAGCAATGCTTCCCTTATTTTCTTTCTCCACATCCCACCCTCAGTCCTTCCCCCTCTTGTCTGGGCATCAAGGGAGGTCCCTCGCCAAGAGGATCAACGACCGCGACTTACCACTCAGCCGGGGCAGGACAGGGCAGGACGGGACGAGAGGCGCGTCGCCGGCGGGTCGAGTCGTCACCTAATCCAACCCACCTCAGCTCATCTCACCCTTTCCCCCCATTGAGATCGATCGAGCGCGTGCACACGCCCAGCTCCGTCAACCCGTTTTCGGTCGCGTTTAATTACTGCAGGGCCAAGTGCAATGTCTGGGGATGACCGGCCGGTGAGGCGACTAGGTCAAGTCGACCACCTACCTAGA